ACAGCTGAACACGTTTGAGCTTAACCGTGTAAGTTCCCCCTGTCGATATGACGCTTCCTGAAAGTGGTTCATGGATTAGAAGTTGGTGCAGACCGCTTGTAACGGACCACATAGCCAAAATTTCAGTGTCCTAATTGATATCTTTTTTGAAAGGGATTAGCACAGTACACACTGCTACATAATTTCGTTGCAGTATGTTTATTTCGTGTAGGAATGCACAGAAGCGGAAAATTCCTGTTAAAATACGCTCCAGTTTGGCAATTAAGGGTGAGTCCAAGAAAACGAATGACTTGAAATAAAGTCCCAACACTGATAATGCTGTACTTTTGTTCCATGGGCGTTATTTGATCGATTTCGTGCCGAAGTATGAGATGGTGTAATGGTCTGTTATTATTTCACGTTTCAAATTGGTAGGCAGTTTGCTGCAGCAAGACTGTTCGTGTTACTGTTGCTTCGCTAGGAAAACCAGATTTTTTTAGAATTTGCTAATTAGTTTCAGTAGATTTTTAGGCGCTACGGAATCGTGCTATCATTCTGCATGAAAGTAGGATAGGTACGCCGTTCAGCTTAAACTCCTTCCCGTAGCGATCGCACTTAAAAAACTTCAACACTATTATAAAGATCACGATTTACCTTCGTCTCTGAACTCTCCTGTATCGATTGTGTGCTACAGGACACAAGTGGTAGCAGCATGACTGCCACGGTCTTAAATCAATTCGTGGGATTCCTGCGCAGCTATTATAAAGCTGTGGATGTCTGCCAGGATATAAAAACACATCGTCCTGCAAAATAAGAAAGGGATTTGACTCCGGAAAATGTTGAACGAACAGGGCTGCTACCTTTTTTATGCCTGTCTCCACAAACCCCTCAGACAGCGATGAAGAGGAAGGTGGCAGTGTTCTAATTAATCTTCGACGGAAGCCTTTTTATGAAAGTGAAAGAAAGCTCCTGTAATAGGATGATGGAAGCACCTGTATCATATTAATATTGTCAGCATTATCGCAAATGATCCGAGCCAGTGATGTCTGTTCAATTGCGTCCTTTTGACTTTCACTGAATACACCCTCTCTCTCATACCTGAATACTTATCGTGCATCTTCACTTTAAGCAAAAATACCATATTTTTAAAACTACGGTAAGCTTTTGCAGAAGCAAATTTTCATTTCTCAAAGTTGAACCTACCAAAACCGGTCGCCATCGCGTACACGCCTGAATTGCTCCGCAATGATACATGAAAACGTTGGACCAACTAACGCTCCGTCAAGTCTTTCCTCCGCAATACCACCGGCAAAGAGATCAATGTTTCCTAGAATACATTAGTCATCACCGGAAATCAAAACTGCTTGAGCGCTGAGTATGAAACCATCAAGTTACTGCAACACAGCCAAATATTAAGAGCTTTTCTAGGCCTTGCCATTCTGGCCTATCTAACAACCTGCCTAATCTTCATTTGATTGCCACTTTTTAAAATAAATTGGTATTAGTTTGTGCTGTCCAAATTTGGCGCCTTTGCTTGTTAACTAAGCTGGCCGTTACCATTTCCAGTCCACTTGGAGGTTGTTCTAAAGGGACCAGGGTTTATGTAGATGTCTAATGAGAATCAGAAAGCACACTACCTTTTAGTTAAACTCTCTCACTGATACACATTAACCAAGGAACGAACCCGGATGACCGTACAGGTCTCTCAGTTTGCCAATGGCTTCGTAGGACATGATGCTCCTCAGATCGTGCCACTCATTTATCGGTGATAGGTTGCACCACTTGCGATATTCCACATAACTGCAAACACACAAAGTTGCTTCTCAACACACACAGTAAATTCACACTACACGTATTTTACACGTATCTCACCCAAATATTGCTTGTCCATAGCACCTGTATTTTACATTTATTGCTCGCTACTTCGTGTGATACACATTACAGGCATTTAGTAAGCTATCCACAAATACACTATGTATTTTGCATAAAAATACATCTGCAAAATGCCCCACATTCAAATAGAGCGCCGCTGGGGTTTCTATTTGAATCCACTCATAAAATTATTATTTTCCGCCTAGGCGATTTTTCACTAATGATTATGCTATGACGTATATATGTTAAGCAGTCGTTAGCATCTGTTCAGCTAATATCTGCCCCGGATTAATGCCCTTGCTGACGAAAACATAACGGGACGTGTTTTTACGCGTTTTTGCCGTACAGCGCTAGCATGCATACTGCGATAATCTTGTCTTTGTGTGTGTGTGTGTGTGTGTATGTATGTATGTATGTATGTTTGTGTATGTGTGTTCGTTTGTTTAAGTGGGTTGGCACATGGCCGGGGAACCCACTAGCAAAGTTTTGGCGCCGGAAGTTGCTTGGTTGCCGAGTTGAAATACCCGGACAAACGAACACAAACACACACAGACAGGGTCGTTGCAATATGCGTTTTTGCAACTTGCATATAAGCAAAAACGCATAAAAAGCTACATGCTCACCCAGGAAGTCCATGATCACGACCGCGTTGTATATTGATTGCAGCTAAATCCAGTGCCACCTGCAAACTAAAGTTTGTGAAACAAAATTACGTTAGCCAAATGAGGCAACATGTAAGTTACATTGCGAGCTGTAGAGGGGTTTATAGCAGCTCACTTCATGCGCACGGTTGAAAAGATTTTCGGTGAGCTCGTCATTTATCAACTCCCGCGGTGTCGGCTTCTTCATTGGTGCCGCAAACAAGCCTCGCAGGTATGGATCCACGCTTCCTGTAGCCAATAATTCCTCTGGTGCAAAAAACGCGTCCCCCAGCGGTATGTGTCCTTGCCAAGTCGGTGCCAAATTCTCGTCAAACCTATTTTGTAAAGTGGAATTCAATATGGTAAAAAGAAAGCGGAATTAACATAAGCAAAAGAAAATGGTATAATCGTCAGAAGTGTTGGGTGTTTGTCACACGAACTTAACGTTGATAAGAATTACCCTCGCTTCGTCACGATGCTAATGGATTCTCAAAATGACTTAAAATTAGATGTATTGCCAACATTTATAAATTTTTCATTTCTCCATTTCTCCGATTAAATTGGTAGCCGACTATTCTAGGCAAAGCCTGCAACAAGTTTTGTTCAACGTATTTTAGTTTAGGATTACGGCGATATCTCATATGGCACAGGTACGAAACCCGAGCGAGCACGGAGAGATATCC